TAATCCAAAATACCAGTTACCCACTGTTAAACATGAAGGAGGAAATTGTATGGCTTGGGGATGTTTTAGTCGTGACAATGTGGTCCCATTCATCACATAGAAGGTTATATGGACCAGAGAATTTTAGACATCATAAAGAATGTTATGCTGCCACATGCAAAGCATAAAATGACTCGCAATTGGATCTTACAAGATAATGATCCAAATAGTTGGTAGAAATTAGTTGGTAGAAAAACAACCAACAAAGAACGTTTATTTGGGTTGATTAAAGAATGTTGGTATAATATTTCTCAGGATGTTCTCATAAAATTAGTAGATTCGATGTATTGTCGCTGTGATGACGTTTTAGAGGCAAATGGATATGCAACGAAATACTAAGTGTTTTATTAAAACTAATTTATTGTTAAAAAAATTGTTATTTTGTGAATTTTAGTAAAAGTTTTAGTTTTTTTTGAAATAAATGTTAATCAAATTCAGTTGTTTTTAAACTTTTGCACAGAAGCTTTTTCAAAAAAATAACTAAATGTTAAATAACCGTTTAATTTTATAACTTTCGTGTTTTGTATTTTAAATTGAAACAATACAGAGCACATTGGGCAAGAATTTCAGCTTATTTATAAAAGTTTGTAAAAAGTTATGCAGTAAAAACCGAAAAAAAAGTTGGTGTTTCTAAACTTAAGGACGCTACTGTAGCTTAAAATCAATAGAAAAACTTAACGTCAAACATCAATGTTTGCTTAAAATCTTTTTTTACGGTTTTATTAGAAATTTATATATAACATAGTTGTCTTAATTAGTTTACTTAGAGTTGTTACAAAGAATTAGAGAGTGGTCTTTTTCTGTGTAGTTATTTAAATAATTTAAAAACCAAAATTTCCAACAAAATGTTGATTAGTTTAAAAATGCCTGAGAATATTTACTATTATGTAGTTGAAGCTTCTCAATGTGATTGCTTTGTGTTTAATATCTTTATTTAAAAGATAAGTTACCAGATTCTTGAATACTATCCCATTTATGACGTACACCTTTTACCAATAACTTGAAAACATTTTTGACATTTGAACTCTTGCAAAACCAATCTTACCTGAAGTTATTTTGGTTCTATCTTCATTATAATGAACATTGTAATGAAAAAATTATAATGAATTTAATTCAAATTAATTTTACAAAATAAACACAATTTAAAGAATTTTACTAGTTGCCAATTTGCATTCTTGACAGCTTCTACTGCAGTAAAAATTGCTTAAAAATTCTTTGCTTCATTTCTGCTTTACTTATAATGGAAGAGATTTTCCAGCTTTTACCAGGTAAAGATTTCTTTTACACGCCAGGTATAGATATAGCTAGATATTTCATTACCTTAACACTACAATCATTGTGACAATGCTTTACAATAAGCTTTTCCAAATTTTCTGTAACTGGTTGCCGTCCTTAGACAAAGATAGGTTGGCTTTTGTGTTGGCATTGCCAAATGCCGACCTGAATTTTACTGACTGGATCCAAAATATCTAGCATCTAGTGTTTTTGCAAGGAAATGACTTTCACTGACAGTCTGAAGATATCTAGTTTCCAATATTTTTTTTTCAGTTGATAAAAATGATAACATGTTTATCAACTCTTTAAAAATTTTAACAGTCACTTATTTTTGTTTGATTTCTTTGCAACTTATCTAGAACAACTTCATTTGGTTAACAATTTCAACAAAAAATTAGTTTTGTTTAAATTGATATTTTTTTGATTAGTTGAAACAATGGTTTAAACCATTGGTTTAAACCATTTGGTTTAAAGCATTATTTGGATAAATCAAGTCAGTGTGAATTCAATTACACTTTGAGAGCATTTCCTTCATGAATCATTATTTGTATTAGTTGAAAAACCTTTTTTTATGTTAAATTAATCCACTCTGTTTTTAATTTGATTTGTTGTTGAATTAAGGTTATATTGTGAAATTAAGGTTATATTGCAAAAATCTGATCTGCTTAAAGCTCTGATTTGTCCTCAAGAATGTTTGGCATGTTATAAATAACATGCCAAACATTCTTGAATTTGGCATGTTATATATAACATGCTTTTTAGCTAAATTATATAAATTTACCCGAAACATGCCAAACATTCTTGAATTTGGCATGTTATATATAACATGCTTTTTAGCTAAATTATATAAAGTATACCCGAAAACAACAATTAAATTTCTGGCATATTAATATTCTAATAGAGATCTATGCTGTTCCTTTGATATTACATTGTTACCAAAGTTGTTTCTTAAATATTAGCTTGTATTTCTTCAAACGTTCTTGTAAAATGTTATTATAATTAAAAAGGAAAGAATTAAAGAAATGCTTACTTTTGTGTACTGAAAAATTTCAACTCCTCCTCTAATCGTCCTGTTGTAATTTTCATATCGTCTTGTAATTTGGAAACTTCTTTTTTCTTACTTTCTGTTTGCTCATTGTACTTATCTAAATCATAATTAAAAACTAGTAATAACTAGAAATTATTATGAAATCTGCCCCCCCCCTACCCACTTTTTTTTAAATCAGCAATGCTGACAGTACTTTATGAAATCTGCCCCCTTTTTCATTTTTTTAAATCAGCTTTAATCAAACCAAACAAATGGTCTTTGTTGGTTGATTTTCTACCAAATAATTGAAGGTCAATGTATGATTGAGCTCTGAACTTTATAAATGTTATTTAAGAACTTTAATTTTTTGTTGTTCAAAATCAGCCATGGTCAGGAAGGCATGCCATCATTCACCTTTAATGACCACACAAATAATTATTGGTTTTGACAAAACATTTTGTTTCTGACCACAGCTATTAACATGTTTTCAATATTTAAAAATGGGCTGAAAAAATTTACCTTTATTTAACTAAAAAAAAACTTTATTTAAAAAAGGAAAAAGAACTCTTAACAAAAGAGAAAATAAAAAAATTTAACTAAAACTAAAATCATAAAAAAATTAAAACAAAAAAATAAAAATATAACTTAACTAAAATAAAACTCAAAAAACTCAAATGCTAAGTTTATCTAAATCAAGTTTGAAATTACGTTTGAAATAATAAGCTTTAAATCTTTTATTTTTACTAATTTTTATACAATATTATGAGAAACCCTTAAAATGAGGGAACAATTTACATCTTATGACTGTTTAATAAACATTTATACTTAATATAAACTATAGTATTTTTTTTTAATAAATTTAAAAATAGTAAGTTTTTATGTAAATACACACTAGTAGATAATTATGCATTAAAAGAATTTATACGCTGTTTTTTTTTTTTTTTAAGATTAACATTTATCTTAAATTATTATCTTATTATTAAAAAACTATTAATACTTAATTATAGAAATTCATTATTATATAAAAAATCATTAGCAGCAGTGCTGGATGTCTTACACAAAATTGTAAGACTTAAGAAGCAAGTTTTGTATGATTCGTCACAAAACCAACCCCCTCCCCCTAATAGCATGAAGTAATTTATGGACGACCCCTAAGTCACTTTATATTAATGTATGTTTGTGTTTTGTTCAAACCTCTGGAGCAGTGTTCATCCACTTGTAATTCACTATGTATATATGTATGTTTGTACTCAGTTGCCTGTAAGTTTGTGTATGTTTTTTTACTAGTTTTATCAAGTTTAATGATAATTATTTAAATTTCATTAAAAAAGGCAGTTGTTGTCAAAAGTCTTTTTTTTTATAAAATCAATCGTACAAAATGTTTTAAAAGATTTACATTTCAATAATATAAAATAAATTTATATTATATTATATATTAACTACTGAACTTTATATAATTTTTAATAAACCTTAACTTAAAAATTTTAAAAATTTTTCTTTTTTTATAAACAATAAACCAAAGCAAACCGTTGCTTTGTTTAAAAGTAATTTGCTAATGAAAAAAAAATACATAATTGATTACAAATGATTAATGTTACGAAGTTAAATTTTTTAGCGTGTTGAAACTTAATTTTTTTGACATAAATGGATACGTGCATAAATTTGAATATTCTCAAAACATATAAAAAACCATGGTCAAGTCGTTGCAACTAAATATTATATGTGTGGTCAGAAATAGACTATGATTGCACCTGTTTCCTGACCAAACCTGATTAGTTGTTCTTTACTATTTTTGAAATATTATAAAGTTAGTGAATCATTAAACACCACAAATATTTTGGCATTTAGCTTTGCTTTTGTTTACAAAAACTTGATTTGTTTGCAGGGGATAATAAAGTTTCTAAACTTTTACACAGTAGTCTTTTCAAAAAAAACAATTAAATTTTTAATTAATCATATAGAAAATCAAGATAAGATAAGCTAAAAATTTGAATATTAAAAAAAAAGAAAAATATTTTTAGAAGAATATAACTAAATATTTTACTGTTTTTGTTTTCTTTTTTTAAGGGCGTTTGTTATTTTCCACAACCAAAAATTGATATTCTGTCATTACAAAATTTATTAATCAAACAATATTTTACAAACAAATAGCAACTTATTTCCTTATTTTCCTTTTTTATATGAGTATTGGAAAAAAAAAAAAATTCTTTAGCTCTACTGCACATATCAAATTAATTTCTTTATTATATGGACTGATAAAAATCATGAATAAATTGCATTTTAAAACTTTCAATTTGTTGTTGTTAAATTGTTATAAAAGTTGTTAAATTGCTATAAAAGATGCTATGTTTTTTTTTCATCAACTTGTATAAAATTCTAGCTAAAAAAAGCAACCACTTTAAAAAAAAAAAAAAATACCAAAGTTGTATAAAAATTTTATAAAGAAAATCTTTTTTTAATTTTTTTTTCTAAATTATTAAATTTAAATTTAATTAAATTTAATTAATAGTTTATTTAATTAAACTTGATATTTTATTACAATTTTGTTTTCTTTTTTTTATGATTTTTTTTTTTTTCCTTAGTAGATAAGTTTAGCTTTTTGCGGCAAATTATTGAAACGCTTTATTAAGTCAAAAGATGTGACTTGCCATGGTCAGTTTGTTTAAAAATATTACTTTAAATATGGACGAACAAGGCGTGTACCCGTACACGCTTCCTGGAAAGCTTGTTTTTAAATAACAAATATTTTTCATAAGAATAAATTCTTTTCAGCGAAATGTTATCTTTTTCAATTTTTTCTACTTTTGAGCAGTCTTATTTGTTTATCTCATGTCTACTTTTTTAAATTAAACTAGCAAATTAGCATCTGAAGTTTTCTTTGTTAAGATTTTCCTTCTGTCCAAATACTATTGAGAATGAAAAATACTTGCTCTTTCAAAGCATTTGTACCTGGCAAACATAAAGTGGCTTTCACAAATTTTAACAAATTGTTGTAAGGAATTTGATGGTTTTAAAAATAAGAACAATTTTTAACCCATTGCTTGATCTCATTCAACAGATTGTGAGTTTCAGAAAAAAACATTACTTTCATGCAACATAAATTGAACTATTGTCATCAAATGTGAACTTAATTAATTTTATCAAAAAAGTTATAGTTTCAATAATTTAGTCCATTCAACTTTACAGTCAAGTAAAGATCATTAAAAAGTGATGTGTCCATCTATATACTCTAGGCAGACGCTATTAAAAATGTCTACATTCTTTTGAAATTAGTTTTCCAAATGATCATTACATTCATCAGTAACTGGAACAAGCTGTCTTATCATTAAAGGTAAGACAGCATTTTCTAATGCTGTCTTATCTTTTATGTAAATCTTTCTACTTTTCTATAATTTATTTTTTCAAATGAGTAGGACCATTACCACATTTTGCAATAAAACAAAAAATAATCTAAAATCAGATATATTACGCTTCAAAAATAACTCTGATGGTATATTTGAAGTGCTGTAAATGAAGCTATTTGATGAATCAGCTTTTTTCTTTTGCAATAATATTATATTAGGGCTTAAGATGCTGAATTGTGGCTGAAAAAGGTTGTAGGTTAAATAATAAACTTCCCATGCCATAAATCTTGCATGATGTGAAGTCATCAGAAATCTAAAGCAAAAGTCTCTTACTTTGCCACCTTACCAAAGAACTACTAATTTTATAAAATACTTGTAGTCATTTCTTGGAAACATATGCTATTGATGCAATTTTTAGAAATCTTAATGATTCAAAAAAAAGTTTTAGTTTTACAAGCTGAGATGATTTTTATTTTAAACAAAACTTGGTACATATTAAATATAAAATCATTAACGTATTTATAATTTCTGAATCTATTGTTAAGTTACATAAAAATATTTTTTAACACAAAATATTGTTTTAGCTATGTGATAAAAATTTTCCTTTGATTTTTCTATATTTTTAAAAATTATCCATTAATTTTTTAAGGTTCTTCAGAACATTCGATCCTTGATTTTAAATACATCATTATTTAAGCACTAATGTTACTTTTTAAGCATAAGTTGCTTAGGTATGTATTCACAATGTTACGTACGTGTTTCGCAATTTGCATTGTGCAAAAACTTTTTCCAATAAGTTTATTTTAAACTGTCTTTTAAAACGAGTACAATAAAGCATTAACAATGCTTACGATAACAGTGCTTACAATTGCTTAGTTAAAGTACATTTGAATTTTAAATTTTTACAAAAAAATTTAAAACTACATGCACTCTGATGCTTTTTCGTTAACAAAATAAATTACATCATTAAGTAATTTTTATTTTGTAGGATTTGTTTGTCAAGGTTATAATTGAAACTTTTTATATTAGGAGAATTTAGAAAAAATGTTTTTTTTTTGTTTTTCTTTAATGTTAACTAAAATTATATATATTATTGTTTTTTATTTGTTTTTATATTTTTATTTTGACTGATATATAAATATACATAAGTAAATAATAATAAGAATTATATAAATATTTTTATCTAGACATTAAAAATAAAGACTTATTTGCTATTCTCCTAATATAAAAAAATTAAAAACTTTTTGCTATTTTCATTTTAGTAAAAAATATCGTTAGTAAATGCAACTAAGTGGGGTCATCCATAAAGCACAACACCCTTTGTTTGTCAATTCTTAACTCCTTCCTTCCTGTCACAAATAATCAAATATACTCCTTCCTAAACTAATGTGATTCTTAATGAATGAGCTCAATACTTTTGCAATTCTTTCGTTACATTACTGGAATTCTTAATAATAGATATAAAAAATCCATGATAATAATCGCTCGATAATGTAAATTAAATATATAGTATCAAAAAAACCAATTTATTTTTCTTATCTGGTCACCTCTGATAATTTTTATATATTATCTAAATTAGTATAGAATTCTCAACATCAATAAATTCACCCTTTTTTCTAAAGTTGTTGCCCGTGTAATTTAAGTTAATAATGGAATTGCCCATTAAATTAAAAGGTGCCTTAAAAACTATTAACCTTTAGTAAAAGTTAAATGAACAGATTTGCTAATATTTAAATCAAAAATTTAAAATTAAAATAATAGTAAATACGTTTTTGTTAATTTTTAAAATATTATGCAATTTAATATATATAAATATATTATGTAATGTAAATATTAATTAAAAATTGTTCAAAGTATTTAAATATTTAATTACTATTTATTTAAAACATTATTAACTATTAAAATTAAATTCACTAAAATATAGTTAATAAATGTTTGAAATACTTTAAACAATTTTCAATAATTATTTTCTAATAGTGTGGTATTTGCAACAAAAGTGTTTATTAAAGTCTTAAAATAGTTTTCTTATCATAACTAAAGTAACATCGTCAACCGGTAAATTCATATATTCAAAAAAATGCCTTTAAATCAATTCCTTATTTTAGGATAAAACTAAACAAGATAAATACAAATGATTAAAATGCTTGAAAAAATGATGATTTAAAATCATTGCTATGGCACCAGTTTTAATTAGGAAAGAAGAGAAAGGAGGGGGGACACTCAAAAACATCCCCTTCCCGTCCTCCTCCAATGTTGTTGAAAAAAAAGCAATATCTCCAAATAAACTCTGGGTTCTTCACTGACATATAAACTTTTATTATAATTTTGTCATACAAATTATATATCCAAATTTTAAAAATAAAAACAACACATTTAAAAAAATACAATAAAATATATAACTGGAAAAAAAAAAAAAATTTTAAACATAAGAAGATAATTATTTATAATGTTAATTTTAAATTTATACTTGCATTATCTATGTATATTTTTTATGATTTTTTTTTAATTTCATGTACCAATAAATCAATCTAAATCTTTTAATTTATTGTCATACTAACATATGTTTATTTTTTAATTTTGTAATGAAATTTAATATATGTATATCTATAACACATGTTTGCATCATTTAAGTTAACTTAAAAAAAAACCTAATGAAAGAAATTATTAGTAAAAGTTTTTAGTGGTATAATTAATAAAAATGTAATCATGGTATTTAAAAATAATAAATTGTTGATATTCATGTATATTATTAATTTGAACATCAAACATACTGCCTACAAAGTTTATTATTACATCAAGTTATCAATATCTTATATTTAGTATTATAAATAAAATAGGAATTTACTTTTAAAAACCTCCATGTTTTCTAAAACTGAATCAAGTGAACCAATCTTGAGAATATTGTTTGGATCACTCATCAGAGAATTTAGAAGCACCTTAAAAAAAAAAACTTGATATAAACAGTGTTAAACCTACATCCAAAACATATTTAAACCTACAGTTTTTTTTTTTTATGTTATTTTAATTTACTTCCCCAAGGCCATAAAGGCCACTACAGTCAAGGAGGCTACATTAGTTGTGGTTACAACCCTCTTACAACTATATAACTCTAAAACATGAACCTTGACGAACAAGGCCACTGTGCGGAGAAACAGGGGTTGATAGCCGAGGTAAGAAAAAAAATTATAATACTTTTTGCATTATAGTCTTATATTTATATTTACTATTTATTACATACTGGCATATATTTATATATATTTTTAAACTCTAATTTACTTTCAACAGGATTGCAAGCAACCACTATTAAGTTATGAGTTACTTTAAAATAGAGGACAAGTAAAAATAATAGAGAATGGTTAACTGAAGATTTTGAAAGTTGAAGGATGTATTAAAAATAAAAACACGAAGATGGGTAAGAGTTAAAAGCCTTTTTTGATGTGCAAGGACAAAAAACTGAATTAATAAAAGTTTTTATAGTATGTAGGGACAGATACAGTAAAAGGATGCAACTTGTTGAATAAGAAGCCAAGTAAGAATGAGTTTTGGTTTATCGTAATAGTGATGATAGCATGTTTAAACATTGACCATAATAGTATTTGCAGGCCTTGTTTTAAAGCGTTACGCCTAGAGCAATTTACGTACGCCTTAAGCCAATTTTTACGTACGCGTAGAGCTGTTTTGGTTAAGCTACTTTTTATCATTTTTTAACTTTTAAATTAGCGGTAACATAAAAGAAGTAATTAATTTTCAAAAAAACCACATTAACTTTTAAATAACGATATGTAAAGGTATTTATTAAAAAAAAGAATTTACTTTAAAAATAATTGTTGTAACTTTTCATCACGATATATCAAAAAATTGTTTGTCAATCCTTAACTACAAATTTTTTGTAATGTTTTTAATAAAAAGTAGTAATTTTTTAGAGTTTTTAGTAAAAAACTTTTAAAAAATCTATATTCCATATTTATTAATACAGAATATAAAAGTTTTTTGTAATGTAGATTTTTTATGAATTTTTTACTGAATTTATAAAAAAAACATTTGCAAAAAAATTTGTAATTAAGAATTGACATTTTTTTTAATAAAATCTCAAAAAATGTCTTAATATTTTTGTTATCATGATAACAAAAATATCAAGACATTTTTTCGAGATGTTAAAAAAAATGTCTTTGCTTTTCTTATTAGTTTAATAGTAAATAGCTTATAGTTAGTTTAATAGTATATAGCTTATAGTTAGTTTAATAGTATATAGCTTTTCTTATTAGTTTATTAGTATATAGTTTAAGTTATGCGGGGGGAGGGGGTCGGCACAGAAAAAAAAAATTACCTGTTACTCGCAATATTTGAATGAAGACAATTTGTTAAAATTCTTCTGCGTGCGATTCAGTGTTTTTTTTCATAAATCAAGTTATAATATAAGGTAAAGAAATCATGAGTAGACTACAACATCCGCTGATGACACTAATATTACGTTGAATATATTTATATAACGTAGGTTTTTTATGCACGCGCACATTACAGATTCCGTTAAATAAATACTAAGGCACGTTTTAGTTTAATGACAGTCTCTATTTTTTATTAATGAATATGTATTTTTCTTTATAAAACAAGACAAACTAGTATATAAAAACCTTTTATATTTCTATTCTCTCTAAATTGTTTAAAATTTGAATATGGATTGTATTTTGAAGGACAAAAGATTTCCTTTAAAAACTTTTAAATCTTGGGACTTTGCCGATGCTTTGCCAATGCGATGATCACAGAAAAAGAGAAGACTTACGTTATTAAAATCAAATGTAAGTTATGTGATCTTCATCAAAATAAAATATAATCCTAAAACAATTGTGCCGTTAGGGCAGCTGCCCTACGGTTTATAAATAACACAAGTCATGTTAAAATATTTTAACATGTTACTATATTTAATTTAAGTTGATATATAAATAAAAATAAAAATATGGTTTAATAAATAAATTAAATTTGTTCTTAACAAAGATTACCTCATATTTATTCTTTTTTTATTTTATTAAGTTAAATTGCTTTCAAACGAAGAAAAAAAAGAGTTTTTATTTTTTTGTAATTATATATAGAATAAAAATACTTTTGAGTTTGTTTATAAGTTAAGGAACTTAATTTTTAATAAACAAATTTTTACGAACATTTATTATAAACAGATACGATTCAAATTATTAAATATACTTATATTATTTTAGTTGAGTATTTTTTTAAGTTTGCACGATTAAAGTTTTGCGGAGAAGTATTTGTTTTTTGTTTTAAGAATAATTAACAAAAGAATTTGCATAATTAAGATTTTTATATTTAATTTAATTTTTTTTTAATTTCCTAAAATTTAAAAAAAAAAAGATTTAATCGTTAAAAACGATATTTCTCTATAGCTCTGTTTCTTTGTGATTTGTTTAAAATGTAAAACATTTTTACAATAACATAAAAAATTTATGAATTAAATTCCTGGCGAACGCGTTCTAAACTATGTATCAAAAATATGCTAAAAGCAGACAAAACATTTTTATATTTTTATATAACGCAAGTTGAAACGCTAAGCAAGATAAATTTAAAAAAATATTCTTTCCTAAATTATTCTTTGTTAGTCAAAACAAAATCGCTGTTTAAATAATTAACATAGGTTTTTGTTTATCAATGTTAATATTTTTTGTTTACTCCAGAAACTTTTAAAAATAAAAAAAAAATCATTATCTTTTATTCAATAACGATTTATAAACAATAATTATTCAAAAACAAATTTCAGAAATAATTAAAATATATATATATTTTTTTTTACTATATAATATTGAACTAAAATTAATAATATGATAACAAACTTTTTATTATAAATTTACATTTAAAACGTTAATAGTTATTTGAGTTAATTGTTTAATTGAACTAGTTAGCGGTTATTTATTTATTGCGGTAGTTAAAACACTTAACGTCTATAAAAAAAAATAAAGATAATTTTATGACGTCAAATATCGCGTTAAGCTAATGCGTTAAGCACTTTTTTATTTAAAACAAGGCCTGTATTTGTAGAAAAAAAAAGAAATGCAACCCTACAACAATGGGAGAGTAGTTCCAGCTTGGCAGATAAAGCAGGTCTAACTACATTTACAATGTGCTTTTAGATTTTGTCTGAGAGTAAATGGGTTGTTATTTGTCAATATAGAAATACCAACAATAATACAGTAAAATTAATGACTTTAGTTGCCACCATTTAAATTCACAAGCCACTGCAAGCCTTAGGCTGTTACAGAAGAGAGATCAGATTAAAAACCGGAGCTTGTTCTAAGCGGTGAAAAAAGTGAAGATTTTTTGTCAAGAAAAGTGTATAAAGTTGAGTCCTTAGCTAATAGAGGTACCTTAGATATAAAACTTTTATGAAGATTGTTATTATAGATAAGAAACATTACAGAAGCAAAGATAGAACTTTGTGGTACCCTTAAAGTTACTTGAAATAAAGTGGAGTGTAGGCCTTCAAGAATAACTTTAATTCTGCTGTTAATGTTGTGATTTTAATGTGATTTAATAATTTGTTTACTTGCAGAGTGTGACCATCAGATTCATAAGTTAAATTAGAGTAAGATTTTTTTTTCAAAAAACTCTGCCTTATTCTGAGAAGAAGTAAAAAGTCAGATCCATGAGTTAGAGATTAAATATTAGACTTACTTTAGTTAATGACACTGTTGAAGACTTACCAAAAATCTCTAGATCCTAACATCTGAGATAAGAAACAAGATTTAGTAAACTAAGAATAACAGAGCTTAACATCAGACAGAACCTATTAACATTGGCTTCTTGGAGTATTAAAAGGACATTTGTTTATAAGAGAAATGTTCTTGTAAAAAAGATGAAAAAAATGATTACAATAAACTTCTGATTATGATTATAATAAACTTCTCAAGATGCGGAGTAAAATGAGGTTTGACTTATTATTAAAGAGAAGGAATAGAAGCTTCGAAGCTTTTATTCCTGAAGGAATAAAAGTTTATAAGATGTGTTTTTTGCATATATATTATAGGTAAAAACATATATTTTTAGATGCTGGCAAACAATATATTTTCATATTTATATAAACTTTAGAATTTATATGGTATAGTCTTTGCCAAAATAGAAGAAGACCAGATGAATGAGTGGTGTGACTCTAAAACAACAAGAAAAGGAGACATATTCTTAGACTAGAAAAAAGCGTCTTATCGGACAACATTTTTAAATAAGATTAAAGTGACTTAGGTATCAGCGTGTAGAGAGATAGAAGTTTCAGGAAAAAATGGTAGTGGTAGAAGTAAGAAAACTTGAAGAGAGTGTCTTATATATTGTATGAATGAGGTTTAGTTAAATAAGGAACATGCTTTAGATTCTTTATATTAGAAAAACAGCATAAAAGAGAAAAGTTGATGATGACAACGATGATGATGATGATGATTATAATAATGATCATGACCATGATGGTAATGATGATTATGATGATCATAATGATTTTTATATATGCATATATATACAAAATACAACATGAATTTTGAATAAAAAAATATACTTTAGGATGTATAATTGTAGCTTGTGGCTATATTTTATCAAACCCGGCCCCGGTCAAATATCAATTCCGGTCGTTTACTAGTTGAAAGATATTTAAAACTGAGTTGTTATTTTTAAACCAAACAACTTTGTGAAAAATATACTGAGATAAAAACAAATTCGAAGATGGTAATGTTGTATCAAAAAAAAAAAAAAAAATTATTTTCAAAGGATTGAAATTCATTATGCCTATTTATCTTATATTCCATTATTTAAATTCTAATAAAATTACAAAAAACTAGGGCTTACAACCCAGTCAAAACACGAAGATTATTGCAATATCAGAAAAATATCAAAACTATTTTAAGCTAACAGTTTTAAGAAGCTTACAGTTTTTCAGAAAATAAAATTTTTAAAAAAACTTAAATGAATTTTATTATTATAGTTATATTAACATGTTCTTCTCTGTTGATTTTGTGTAGTAATTTTTGAGTTTATATACTCTTATCATCATGTCATTTTTGAAAAATTTTACATACAAGACTTATTTATGTTATGAGTTACAGAAAAATAAAGAATATTATTAAAGAGTAAGAAAACTTAAAAAACAACTGTATGAATCAGAAAAAAATGAAGATGAGATTAAGTTACAAATCATTGTGCAAGGAAAGAAACTGGGTGAATAAAACTTTCTAATATGAAGGGATAGATACAGTAAAAGGATGGAACTTTGCTGAATGACAAGTCAAGCAGGAATGAGTTTTAATGAAACTAGAGATAAGCAGTGACAATGATGGTATTTGTAAAAAAGAGAAAGAATTCCAACCTTATGATAATGGGACAGTGACTCAAACTTGGCAAAGTCCAGTCTAGAACATGTCCAACTACATTTATATTATGCTTTTTAACCTTGTCTAGATAAGAAATAAGACCTTTAAGAAAATCTTTTCATTAGGAAAACTAGCCCAAATATGAAAATAGTTTTCATTACTAGAACAAATTTTACAGATCCACAGAATAAGGAAATGATAAGCACGCATAAAAAAAATTCTAACCTTAGAAAATGTTAATTTTGCAATGGACTGTATATATAGTTTCTTTGAGAGGTCAGTAGTAAATGATAATCAGAGACTTTTGCAATTAATAAATAAAAAAATACTGTAGTAATTTTTAGAAAAAATAACCGATTTTTGTTGGAGTTAAAATTCACAATCCACTGGAAACCCCAAATTGTTGCAGAAGAAAGGTCAGATTCAAGACTGGTTTCCTGTTCTAGGCATTTATAAAGTGATGGTTTTTTGTCTAGACAGAAGTGTATAGCAGTGTTATCAGTAAATAGAGTCAATTTAAATTTAAGATTGCCAGAAAGATCATTAATACAGATAAGAAATTATATAGGACCAAGGATAGAACTGTGTGTACCAGAGGTTATTGAAAATAAAAAAGAGGGTAGTCTTTTAAGGATGATTTTTGTTGTATACCCAATCAAGAATAATACAAGTAAGTTAGTAGAAAGATTTTTTATTATACTATTTAAAATATAAAGTAACTAAATATACATAATATAAATATAATAACAAAATATTACAATAACACAATATCAGAATTTTAAAACTGCGAATGGAAAAAAAATGATATAAGAATCTTAAAAAGTGTCCTAAATACACCATACCAAGAAAGACACCATATATAAAGCAAGCTTATCAAGAAGACTAGACTATAGAATAACATAACACTTGAATTGGAAATTTATAATAGAAATATATTTACTTTTTACAAATACTATTGTCATAGCCAAGAGAAAACTTAACACAAAATATATTTACAGTAAGTTGAAATGTAAGGAGTAGAAACATGATAGTATCAGCATCAATTCTAGAAACCAAAGCCAGAGAACTTTTTAGATAAATATCAAAGGATTTAGAGCATCTGATAGTTGGCTTGATCTTTGTAAAAACAAGTATGTTTCTATTGAGACAATATCTGGAAAGAGCAAATCATGAGCAGCTAAATTATTACAATTTTATCGAGATATAACTTGACAAAATTTATTATGCAGATAAATTTAATTTTTTTTGTATGCAAGATAAAGTTCAGTCATCATATTTTTCTAAAAATCATTTTTTGTGTATGTAAAATCTTTAAATGAAAACCTATCTAATCCTAGTAATCAACTTGTCTTATATCTGACAGTTTGTTTCACAATGCTAAGGCAGTCTTCAGTCAAAAAAATTCCAAAAGAAAATATCTACAATTTCAGAAGATCTATTATATCAATGATGTTGCCGGCAGCAAGATTAACATAGGCAAGTTAATTATTTAAACCACAATAATATTGTGGTTTAATAATTATAGTTTTTACATATCGTCAATATGTAAAAACTATAATTATTAATTATCAAATCTAACCAACTGTATTCTTGTTCTTGAAATAATGTCTTTCCGATTTGAGATAAAATTAATAACCACTATCAGTTTTTTAATATATATATTTTTAACTAGTTTTATGCCTTTACTTGTTGCTAGGAACTATAGACTGCAGCCATTATAAATTACTTTTATAAAGAATTTGAACCTTTCAAAATTTGATTTTTTTTCACTTTTAGAGGAAAAGCTGAGAAAATGTATAGATTTCAAAAAAAAAAAACATAAATATTTTATAAATTTTGTTTAAAAATCTATTATAAACGTTATTGAAAAACATCTGAAAATACCTCAAAATCAAGCAAAAATTTTTGTTTGGCCTTTTTTTCTGAATCTAGATCTTCATTTATTTCACCGGTTTGAGTTTCACAACTCGATAGCCTTGTTTGTAAGTCTTTATTTGAAATAGAATACGAAGTTTCTTTACTTTGACACATTTTAAGTTTTGTATTGGCTTTTGAAAGATCTTTATTAGTTTCTGACAATGCAAAGTTGACCGTGTTTAATTTCTCCAGTAACTCACTATTTTGTGAGGTTAAGGACCAAGTATAATAAAGCGTTGCTCCAAACATAAAGTATAATAAAGGATGAAATAATGCAGAATTTCGAATACGATTAGCAAAGTCACAAAAAACCATTTCAAAAATGCAATGCAAAACTTATTAAACAAAAAAAAGTTAAACTTTGGCTTTGAGTTGATTTTTAATTATATTCAAATGTTAGTTGGCGATATTTATAAAAACGCAGACTAGAGATTATTTTACGCATGCGTACTGTTTGCTTGTTTTGCGGTGGTATTGAAATCGTCACTCTCTAGTAAGGAGAGAAAGGAAGTTGAAGAAGGGAGTAGAGGGAGAGAGGTTGTGGGGGTTACTGGTGTTGAAACCACTCGTACGGGACTTGTTACTCATGGGATATTTATATTATATATATATATATATATATATATATATATATATATATATATATATATATATATATATATATATATATATATATATATGTATGTATGTATATATATATATATATATATATATATATATATATATATATATATATATATATATATATATATATATATATATATACATACATATATATATATATATATATATATATATATATATATATATATATATATATATATATATATATATATATATATATATATATATATATATATATATATACATATATTTTTGGCAACAGATTTTAAAAATAGGTAACCAGCAAATACCTAATTTTAAAACCTGTTTAAAAATAAGTAATTATACATTAATGAGTTATCATTTTTTTCCTTGCATATCAATTCACCTTTCCAAGGCCATGAAGAGCACTACATTCAAGGAGGCAATTTTTAATTTTGGTTACAACCCTCTCTCAATAATACAAACCTTGACAAACAAGGCTGCTGCGTCAAGAAACAAGTTGTGCGCAGTACTACCATGGACTTATGAGGCAAGCACTTTACCACTACACCACTACTGAAACTAAATAAACTTTTGATAGGTTTATTTATGAAGAATCTTATTATTAGTATAATACCCCTCTATAAAAATTCAAATTTTTTTGAGAGAAGTATTAGTAAGAAATGTTACCTAAAAGCAAACAAAAATTTAACAAAATTCTAATTTTACTTTAGGTATAACATAATCTAATGTTGCCATGAAAAATATAATCTTTTTACACAAAATAGCAATGACATGATAATAATCATAAAAAACTGTTTAATGGTGTTACGAGAGAACAAAGTAATTCTTACCTTCATAGTGATGAATTCAATTTTATTACCTACACTGTTGGCTAATGATTAATAAAGTAAATTTCAATTCATGAAAATTTACTGAATTAAAACCATATTTCAACAGTAGTCAAATTAAACATAAAAAATGAAGTAGAGCAGAAACTCATGAATGAACTAAAAAAAAAAAATAATAACAATTTAATAAAGAAACATTTCCCAATTTGCACAAAACAAATAATCCTTTTAAGAAAAATATAAAAAAATCAATACTAGTTTTTGTAGAACATAAAAAATAGAAAACACGGAACTTAAAAACATATATACATAACAAAATATTGATATGCGTAAATTTGGAAAAAACTTAAATATTAATATAACAGTAAAATATCTTCAAATCAGGCTAAAATAATAAAGATACGTTGGACTAATAACTATACTAATTAAAGTAAGATGAAATTACTTTTATTCTATATTCCTATAGAAAAAAAAAGTCCTACAACATAAATATCGGAAGCTCTAAAAGTTCCCAACTACAGTAAAATATAATTATAATTTATATCGTTCAATACCAGTATCATACATTTCTGTTGAGTTATATGTAATATAAACATATTTAGACCGATTTGAAAACATATAAACTCTATATACACCAAATGTGAACTGATACAGGCACTACAATTAGTGGGAAAAAAAAATACGCAAAAAATAATTTTTTTTTTTAAAAAAAAAACTTTTTTTTAAAAAAGATAAAAAAAAAAAGTTTTTATTTGTTTTTGCTTTCGGTCGTATAATTTCTTTACACTTAGATTAATATATAATACTTTTCTGTAGAAAAATAGCACACCATTTTTTTTTATAAATATACATAACAATAAAGGCAATTAAAAAAACTCGTTTTTGTGGTTGTCATAAATATATTTTTTTAAGTTAATATACTGGTATATGTTATATAAGTAGTAAATGATATTTGTACATGCAATTGGTATTCGTTTTATTTCCATTCCGTAACGAAAATACTCTTCATAATCTTTCTGAATTCTAATGTTATTCTAAAGTTCCGCGTAACTTTGTTTACTTTATACCTCCAAAATTTGTCTCGCCGAAACAGTTATTTCAATAAAATTCGTTAGTAAATAGCTTGGGAAGTAACGCAATAAAGTTACGTCATCGCTTAGAAATGTTAACACAAGTTTAAGCGTAAAATTAAAACAATTTGTTGTAAAACATGCCAAGTTTAAAAGCATATTGTCTAACATAGCAAGAGGTACATAAAACGTTTTTTATAATTTCATCTGCATAAAAGGTCGAAATTTCAATAACTCACGTCATCTATCAAAAAATTAATATTTTACATTTAAAAGAAATAAATTTAAAAATATAAACGCATTAAAAATTGAGTTATAGTAACAAAATCGGACGTAAGAATCTGATGGAATAGATATTCATTGATAAGTGTTTTAAATTTCAACCATCAACCATGTAGCTATGTTAGGGAATCTTGGTTGGTCCAAGACAGGTTTTCGGTAACAATCGCCAAAAACAGAAAAGTCATCCAAAATCATTTAAAATATTTTAACAATGTTTATTTTTATTTCGCCTAAAGTAAAATTTATTCAACGAAGAAAGATAGTTCTCGTAAATTTTTTTAATTCGAAGATTAAAACGTTTATAGAAAAAAAAAACCATTACTTTAAAGTTATTGAATTTTTATACTTTATATGCCGAAATTTTTAAAAAACTTTTTATGCGGAAAATGTTTTTGCTAAACTAATAATAAACTAATATAAACTAAATAACTAATAAAAAAGGCCCAATTTTACATTGCGTGAAACAGTCGCGTATATAGTTATTATTATCACTTTATACCATTATCACACCATCTTACATTAAACGGTTTACTAAGGGGAGATAATAATTTAGAAACTTAAAAAGGTATTCGTGAAGCATTTTTAATTTAATATATAACTAAAAGTTTATAGTTGTTTACTATTTATTACATCATTCATTATTGCACCATCTTTTATTGAATGGTTTACTAGGAGGAAGGAGATAATTCAGACGCAAGTTTAGTAATTTACTCGGGGAAAGGGTATAATTCAAACAGATATTTGTAAATGATCTTTACATAATTATAAAACTAATTTAATCAGTTAGTATAAACAGAAATTGTATTACTATCAAATAATTAATAATTATTTTATATGTGTACAATTTCAATCATTTTCCTTTAATGAAAATCAGACCATCTTACATTGAGCGATTTACAAGGGGTAGGTAATAATTCAGACAGATTTAAATTATATCGATCTAAATTTTACTGTTACATACACAGTTGTATAACAAAAGCATTAGTAAATAAATAACTAATTAGTTTATATTTGCATATTTTCTATTACTACCACTCTATCTTACATCGTCTTTTTTACATTACTTTTATGTAAACTTTTTTAATTTCTAGAATTCTTGTCCTAAGCGTTTTTTTCTCCTTGGTTATATTTAATAAGATAGTACGGACGTTTTAGGTACACTTCTAACAGTTATAACCCGAAAGCGCAATCTCGTTTTGAGCTTTATGCAGTGGGAACTAATATTTCAGGCGGATCTAATATTCTACTACAGATCTCAAAGATTTATTGAAAAACCTTTGAGTTAGCTATGTTTTGTAAAGTGCCTATGAGAATTTTTTTTTTACAAAACATAGCACAGTTTTACTATGTAACGCTGCCGTATGTAAACTTTACATATTATTTATTTTTAGATAAATCATTTAATAAGTGGTTTATGTATTTATGAATAATATGTAAGTTTTACATACTTGTGAAAAGTACTATATCATACATTTATTAAATGTAAGATTTACATATTTAATAAGTAATATAATTTATATATTTCTTATAGTATAAGTAATAATAAAATATTTCTTATAGTATAAGTATATTATCAAATATATAACTTATAGAAAAAGCATTTATAAATGATATCTAAAGTTTATAAATAGCAGTGTCACTTAGTGACACTGCTATATATAAAACAAAAGCAAAACGTGAACCTTGTTGCAATACACGAGCTGAATTTCTTGCAACAAAGACTAATTTAAGTCTTTTACGGGTATATCCCATTAATTCTGCAATGTCAATTGTAGTTAATTCATTATTTGAATTAATTCATAATCCAATTTCTCTTTTTTTTCCAATATTATCTCGTGTTGTTCTCCCACGTTTAGGCATTGTATTTTGATCTTGATCAAGTTTTCGTATACAATTTTGAACTGCCTTATTAAAAGACCTGTTGCATTTTCTAAAGATCAACTTGATTCGTTGCTATTTACCAGTATTTTTATTGTAGAAATATTTTCTTTGCTTGCAGTTTTGCTTCTTGTTTCTTCTTCGGTTTCGACATTTGAGTTATTGAGGTTTTTATGGTATTGTGGTTTATCCTTCTCTGGCTAATTGCCATATGGAGGCTATAAGTTCAGTTCACTAAAGAGCATCATAAGTGAACTTAAAAAGAACGAAGCATCATAGAGCAGACAGATATTGCACTTTATGTATATAAATAAAGCTTCAAAACTAACAAGCATTATGTATGCAGATGATGCAAACTTATTCCCTTCTAACTATGATATCGATGAACTTTTCAAAACAGTGAACGAAGAACTCAGACATGTATCTAATTTGTTCAAGTGTTATAAGTTAACCTTGAATACTAATAAAACAAAATGGGTTTATCTTGATAAAAACATTACTTGGAATCATCATATTGATTATATAAGCACAAAAATTTCTAAAAACATAGGGATCCTATATAAATCACAAATCTATCTTAATAAAAAAAGTCTTAATCTAACTTTATTGTTTATTTGTTCATAGTTATTTAAATTATACTAATATTGTTGGGGAAATAAAGAAAAAAGTAAGTTGCAACGTCTTTATTTTAAGGCGCAACCCGTGTAAACAATTTTGCAAATCGATTCTCTCATTCGATGCATTATTTTATTTAAATGAGAATTCTAAATATATAAGAGTTAAATGTATTTATTATTTTATGTTTTGTGTATATGTGTATAAGTAACTTATCCCTAGCCGTTTTCAAAGATCTTTTTACTTTTAAATCAATCAATCAATATATTTTAAGAAATGATAACTTTTTAAAATAAACCTTTTAGTCAAACAAACTTTAAGCAAAGGTCAAATATCAAAAAACATCATGCCAAAACAAAGCTCTGGTGTCTGGAAGTATTTTGCAAAACAATACGAATAGCTAGTAAAGCAAAATATACTCTGAACAATTATTTCATTTAGATAAAAAGATTCGAGCACATTTGATTACCACATAAAAAATACCCAAAGTATAATTATCAAAAATACTAAACAGCAATTCCATGCTAATCCTAAAGGTATAAATAAAATTACATATAATTTAAAATTAATTTTTTTTATTTTTCAAAAACACATATTTCGCCGTATTTCAATCTGTTTATTTAGGACAACGTCACTTGACATCCACGGCTCCGCACCCACTAGAAATACACAAACTATATATAACTTTTATTTTTATTTTAGGACCCCTTAAGGATTCCGCCATGTGTATAAAGATCACTGATCTCAAAATATAATATAATAATATGATTTTGAGATCAGTGATAAAGATATATAAACACGGCTGCTATTCAGACAACACGCCTATCACGGCCGAACAGTGGTTACATGCCTGTACGGTTACTTTAGCACAGTTTCTGGGAAAAAAATTAGTTTATGTTAAAATGGCGGAGTATTTTAAAGTTATGCCCTATAAACAAGATTTACCTCCTCCAGGAGGGTATCCAAAGTTAAAGTTTACTCAAAATCTTCCAAAACGAGGAATTACTGGTGTTACTCTGATGGCAGCTGGTTTAGGAGTTATGGCTGTTGGATTTTCTTTTGTTGTTAAAGGAAATCGAAAAAGACGGTTAGTTTAACTTAATCAAAAAACAGTATTTTCTAAATAAGCACAATTTATAAAAATAAGAACAATGTTTAAAAAAATATTTAATAACCTAATATTTATATCTACTTATGTTAGGGTATAACAGGGTACCTGGAATTTCTCGGAGGGTTACGGAACTCATTATTTTTTTAGAAAATCTTAGGAAAGTCCTTAATTTTAAAAATATACATTTTTTAAAATTCTGTGTTATTATTTTTAAAAAAAACATTAGTTCCAAATTTAAAATTTAAAACTTAGAGACATTATATAGTTCTGATTTTTTCTTAACATAATAATCAAGTATGATTGTAAAATTATATAAATTTAGATTTATTTAAGGTCGGTGATACTACACTTAAGGAGCCTGAAACTTTTCACTTGTTGCGCTCTTTTTCAGTAGAAAATTTTTAAATATAAGAGTATTAATTAAAATAATAAAAGAAAACATATTACTGCCTCATGCCAAACTCTTTGTCAATGTAGCAGCACACTCCCTTGTAACACCAAGCCATAAGATAGTTGATGTATGTATTGAAGCCAGTAAATATACCTAATGTTTTAAAATTCTCCACTAACAAGAGCGCAACAAGCATAAAAACAAGATTATTTAAAGAATGAGTGCATTTTTTAAGAAAATTTCTAATTTGCTCTCATTTAATTATAACCTATTTGAATATTTTGTAAACAAAAATTGGTATACATTAGTATTAACAAACTTCAAACTTTATTTATTCTTTGTTAACAAAGAATAAATAAAGTTTAAAGCGGTATTACGCACAGAACAAAAAAACTCAAATTTAGTTTCTATATAAATAAATTTTAATTCTTCAAAAAACATAAGTTTCAGTGTTATATATATATTTTTAAATGATGTTTTAAACACCAGTAAAGCTTTCCAGAAAGTTACAGGATTGCACTATGTAATGTAGTGTCACAGCTATTATTAATTTCTTGTAGATATTTTTAAAAAAATTAATTGCTTGTCAGTATTTTAAGTGAAATATTATACTTTTACAACTCATATTTAATATATTTTCGATGAGAAACAACAGTCATCAATTATTTCTAGCTAAAGTATAGCATTTTATTGTTTATTTACAAACTGTAAAATATGCAAAAAAAGATCTATATATATATATATATATATATATATATATATATATATATATATATATATATATATATATATATATATATATATATATATATATATATATATATATATATTTAACTTATTCAGTTAGCCCAAAATATGATAAAAATATTTTTGTTATAAATGTTTTTTAAGAAAATCACAATAGGATGCATATTGGTAAGTCCCAGGTTTAAATTGCTAAAACAAAGAAAAATAACAAATCACGCACAGAAATGGAAATCCCCAGAAACTTAAATATGTTGAGTTTACTCAACGCATTATTTAAACTCCATGTCAAGTTTTGAAGAATTGTTCAGAAAAATGTTCCCTAATTGCATTGAAATTTCAATGTGGTATATAGCTACATATGAACTTGCTTCAAATATTTTTAAGGGACTACTGTTAAAACAGTTCTTTATTACACCATTTTGTTTGAATCACTTAATCTAATTTTTTAAACAGGAAAAATCTACTTGTTAATTAGATTTTAGGATGAAAAATATAACACAATTTTTACTAGGTAACTTAATTTTAAGTTTATGGGATGATTCATTGCTGAAGATGTTTTAAATACATTTCTTAGCAGTCTATCTGAAATTAAAAAAGGTTTAACAAGTATTATCAGATATTTCCAATAATTAAATTAACTAAATTTAATAAAAAAAACTCAAAAAACTAATTCTAAGAGATAATTATTTTAACAAGGCTTTTAATTACATTTGAAATAAATAACTAAGAGATTTTTTTAACGTTTATATACAAATAAGCGATATGCTTTTACTAAAGTAAACTTGCTTCAAATGATTGTTATCTTACCTCGATCTTATCTTTTATGCCACACTAAAGTAGGTAATAAAGCCTCTCATCACAGTTAGTCATGGATAATACCACCAACGATAGTAGTCATAAGTAGCACCATAGATTTATCTGTTTGCAATCTATTTAGAAGGATATTTTGGAAGGACATTTAGTCTCTTCCAAATATTTTTATTCACATTGAATAGTTTGCTTTTTTTGAAATTATAAGTATGTTAATTTAACTATTAATATACTTTTTTTTTTAACTATTAATATAAGTTTTAGTTTTTCAAGCACAGTCTTTGTTTTTCATATTACCTGTGTCTATAAAATTGTAGTGGATATGCAAGTGTTTCATATTTTCAAATTGATGTGGGATTTTTTAAATCACGTAAAAAATGCCACATCAATTTAAAATTATTCAATTTATACTGGCTTTTGCATCAGCTTTTAAACTTCTATAAATGGTGTGGAATCCACATGTTCCTATATCAACAAGAGGAATGAGTCAACTACTCTTGCCTTTGTTCAATTATTTTTTAATGAAATAACAAGTTGATATTGTAAACATCTGACTATGTTTTGTAAAATCATTGCTTTATCAATTTCAGATAAACTGTTAAGAAATGTATTTAAAACATGTTTTTTTTTTTTAAAACATGTTTTTTTTTTTAATTATACTTCTAGAGAAGTTCAGTGAAGTTTTTTAGCACATTTTTGAAATATTCTTAAAACATCTAAAAAACCATATACAAATTGTGAGAAAGAACTACTTCACATTATCAGAAATAGCATTTTGTCACATGTCATTTTGACCAAGACTGGATTTGTGGCTGGTTTAAAACTTGTCCAAGACGCTCTAAACTCAACCAGTCACAGAGAAGTTTTATTTTAAAATAAACTGGAGAGATTTTATCAGGTTTGTTGACATCTTTTTAATAAGTCTCCATTGAAGATTTTTTACTCTGTTATATCAATTAACCCAATTCAATTAACTTATAATAGCAAACAATGTAAGAGCCTCAACAGTTCTTCTTCTCTTTTGTAAAAATTAGTAAAGTACAATTGTATTTCATCAAATTTTGCAAAACTGTCAAAAAACAATATATTAACTATAACTTGCCTGAAAATTGGGCAACTGATATGACAGTTATGAAGTAGTTAGAGAAGTTTTTTATGACCAGATAGAAGAGATCTGTATAAATACTGAAAAATGAGTATTTTTTTATTTTTACGTGATTTCAAAAGTATATACTCTACAATAAAAAAATCTGTTGTTTAAATATTTTTGCTTTAGGAGTTTTGGGAAAGTTTTTAAGCTCGTTTATGTTAAAATAAAAAATAAAAATACTCAAAATTAGTAAGCGCAGTTTTAAATGAATTAATTAAAATTTTATAGTCTCAATAGTACCATAAATATTTTATTTTAGAAAATTTAAGTAGCAAAAAAAAATCTTATTTTTTAAATTTGAATGTGACAGTCAACATTTGACTGTAGTAAATATGCAGTATAAAAAACTCAAGATCTTTTTTCACCCACATTTCCCCATTATAAGAATAACATTTTTACAGTGTCTTAATACTATTGATGGTTTCTCATTAAAAATATCTTGTGCAAAGTTGTGCTAATTCAACTTTAGCAGATTTTAAACTTCTTTGTCATTTGCATTTGTTCAAAGTACTTAGTTGTTAACTAGAATTCTATATAATTAAAGCACATAGTTGTTAACTTGAATTCTATATAATTAAAGTACATAGTTGTGAACTAGAATTCTTTATAATTAAAGCACATAATTGTTAACTTGAATTCTATATAACAAAGTACATAGTTGTTAACTTGAATTCTATATAATTAAAGCACACAGTTGTTAACTTGAATTCTATATAATTAAATGCAATTTTAGAACTCACAGGAAACATTACAAACTAATGATATTCCAATTTACTAAGTTATGCGTTTTTTTTTTTAGAAATTTAAACTTATTTGAGTTAATTATTCATTATGTTTTTAATTTTCAAAAATATGAATACAATTTAAAAACCCAAAAAAAGAATTAATTATATTTTTAAATTGAAATTTTTTTCCTCTAATCATTATGAACAATAAAGAAATTACTCAAAAATTGTTTCATGCTTCGAAAAACAACTGAACTAAATTAGTTACTTTTCTAGACGTTTATATAGTTACAGGAATCTCTAACATAAAACTATTTTCTAAGATAAGTATCAATTATGTAGAGAAGCAATTGTTATTTCTATCTTGCATTGTCCCGATTAAACTTATAATTGAAGAGTCTGGTGAGTCACCCAGACTAATGAAAACTTCTCTACACTTTACTGCCATCCAGTGCGATTTTTATATGTAGAAGAAAGTGCTGAGTTAATTACAAAAGACAATAACTACTTTATCAAAAGTAATTCGGAGCCGATGGTCTTTAACTCTTCTATTATCAAACATAATTTAGAATGCACAATTATTAATTGATTGATGGAAAGTGGTAACTATATTTTTGTCTTTAAATAACTCTATTCAAGTAATTCTTGACTGAACCCTTTAAATATAAACAGTTTATATGTTTTTATATGTTTCTTCATTTTTTTAATGTTTTTTATATGTTTCTTTTTCCAAAATACCAAATACAGTTTCAACTGAGCTTGGAATAAGCACATTTTATGTGTGGATTAGGTGCATTGAATGCTGTTTTCTAAAATTGAATTAAGCAAGTGGCAAGCTAAAGGGGAGAATGCTTAGAAAAGTGTTTAAAAGATTATTGTTCAACAAAAAATGAAAGTTCACTTTGGTTTAATTGTAGATATTAAAAAGCAGTGGTTCTAGTACATCAAATAAAGGAAACATGACACAAAAGGTATTCTGAAAATGTATAGTGTCTCAGGCCTTGTTTTAAATAGAAATGGCTTAGCACATAGCTCATCATGATTTTTGCATCATAAAATTATTTTTAATATTTTTTTTCATTTACAGATGTTAACTTTTTTAAACTACCACAATAAAATAAATTACTACATTAAAAGTTCAATTTACTCATTA